AGAGCGAGGTTCCTGGACCTCCCCCAAAGTTAATGAATTAAGATCTCTTAGCCGGGCGTGGTGGTGCCTGCCTGTGATCCCAGCACTCAGGAGGCCGAGGCAGGAGGACTGACATGAGTTCGAAGCCAGCCTGTTTCAAAAAACCAAAAAACAAAAAGAAGCAGAAGCAGCAATGGATAGATAGAACCACAGGAACATGGGTGGATGTTCAGACACTGTGTGGAGAAAAAGAAATAAGAGAACGATCAGCACTTAAGTATCAGAGTGAGAGAGAAAAAGGAAAGAATAAGGATATGTTTAACTCCTTTGCGTGGATTATAAATTACCTGTGCACAGAACAAGACGCATCCTGAGTAACATATCGTGTTCACACAAAAAGCCCTGCTGAACGTGTCCGAATCACTGCAGCGCAGGGCGGAGTGGGATATGGGGGCAGAAAGAAAGAAATTGGCAACATGTGAGGAAAACGCTCGCTCGCTCGCTCGCTCGGCCCCGGGAGTTGGTGAACCTGCGGCCCCGCTGCAGCGCTGGCCCCCAGCGAAGCCGGACGTGGGGTGCCGACTCACTTCCCTCCCCAGGTCCTGTTTGCCACTGAGACCTTTGCCATGGGTGTGAACATGCCAGCCCGCACCGTGGTGTTCGACTCCATGCGCAAGCACGATGGCTCCGCCTTCCGGGACCTGCTCCCCGGGGAGTACGTGCAGATGGCCGGCCGCGCGGGCCGGAGGGGCCTGGACCCCACAGGCACTGTCGTGCTGCTCTGCAAGGCCCGCGTGCCCGAGATGGCCGACCTGCACCGCATGATGATGGTGAGCAGCATGGGTGCGGCTGCACCCGTCCTCTCCCTGCCAGCCCTTGGCCCTCGCTGCTCTCCCAAGTGTCCTCTTTGGCCTGGGGAGAGCCAAGTTAGGAGCTAGCAGGTTCCGGGAAGAGAAGTGACCCCATCTGCTCTAGCTTCTTGCCACCCTGAATCGGGAGCAAGACGGGGCCTTCGTGAGTCTGCCCATTCCATTTTGGTGCCTCGTGTTTCCCAGGAGCGGAGCAGCGGCTTCATCTGAGGCCCCAGGTTGCAGAGCTAGGGCCAGGTCTGGGGAGACTGAGCTCCCCTGGGGCTGGCTGGGAGTGGCAGGTCTCCCCACCGCATCCCGATCGCTCCACTTCTCCAGGGGAAGCCATCCCAGCTGCAGTCCCAGTTCCGCCTCACATACACTATGATCCTCAACCTGCTGCGGGTGGATGCACTCAGGGTGGAGGACATGATGAAGAGGAGCTTCTCCGAGTTCCCGTTCCGCAAGGACAGCAAGGTGAGGAGGGTGGGCCGCGCTGCGCGTTCTGCTGCACAGGAAGGCGGGGAAAGCCAGGCTGGGAAGGGCTGGGCATCCGGGTGAGTGGGGAAGGGGACCCGGAGATGCACGTCACGGCCTCCCCCTCTGCCTAGGCCCACGAGCAGACGCTGGCTGAACTGACCAAGAAGCTGGGGTCCCTGGAGGAGCCCGACGTGACTGGCCAGCTGGCTGATCTGCCTGACTATTATGGCTGGGGGGAGGAGCTGGTAGAGACCCGGAGCAGGATCCAGGTGAGCAGGCCTGGCCAGAGCGAGCCGGGGGAAGACGGGTGCCCTGGTGCTCTGGGACTCAGTCCTGGTGTCCCAGTGACGTGGCTCCTCACGGCACGGCATGTGCGCCCCTGCCCTTCAGCAACGCATCCTGGAGTCTGTGAATGGGTTGAAATCTCTCTCGGTGGGACGGGTGGTGGTCGTGAAGAGTCAGGAGCATCACAACGCACTGGGGGTGATCCTGCAGGTGAGGCACAGAGGGTGGGAGGCCCTAGCTGTTCCCCACCTGGCTGGGCAGGTTGCAGCGGCCACAGTGCTCGCTCCCCTTTGTGCCTGCTGCCCCTGCCCCCCCGGCGTCCTCTTGGATTGCTCGGCTTGGTTCCCCCCCGTACTGTGTGCTCTGCGATCCCCATCCCTGCCTGGGGTGGGCATGTGGTCTCCGCTGGGAGGTTCACTCCTCACGTCCCGGTGTCCTGGCCTGTCCACCTCCCCCAGGTCTCTTCCAGCTCCGCCAGCAGAGTCTTCACAACCCTGGTCTTGTGTGATAAGCCCGAGTCTCAGGGCCTGCAGGACAGGGGGCTGGCCACTCCCACTGCGGATGTGCCCCACCCCGACGACCTTGTGGGATTTAAGCTGTTCCTGCCTGAAGGTGAATGGGGCCGGGTCTGGCCTCCTGACAGCAGGGTGAGCAGTGCCGGGATCATGGCAAAGTCTGACCTGCTCTCTGCTTTCTCCAGGGCCTTGTGACCACACTGTGGCCAAGCTCCAGCCGGCAGACGTGGCTGCCATCACCACCAAGGTGCTCCGGGTGCACGGAGAGAAGATCTTGGAGGATTTCAGCAAGAGGCAGCAACCAAAATTCAGGTCAGAGATGCTAGGGGACCCTTTTCCCAGGAAGGGGCATGGAGGGCTTGGGAGGCTTCCCTAGGGGGACCACGACACGGGGGATGTGAGAGTGACTCTTCCAGCTGACAGGGCCGCCAACGGCAAAGGAGCCTCTTGCCCCTCCTTCAGGAAGGACCCTCCCCTGGCGGCCGTGGCCACTGCTGTCCAGGAGCTGGTGCGACTGGCTCAGGCCTGCCCGGCGGGGCCCCCCACCCTCGACCCCGTCAGTGACCTGCAGCTGAAGGATGTGTCCGTGGTCGAGGGGGGGCTCCGGGCCCGGAAGCTGGAGGAGCTAATCCGGGGGGCTCAGTGTGTGCACAGCCCCCGGTTTTCCGCCCAGGTAGCTGTGATGTGGAGGGGCTTCTCCTCTCTGGCCCCCAGCCCTATCCTCAGTGGTCTTCTGCTGAGGAGAGAAGGCTGACGGGCTCCCGCCTGTCTCTGAAGTACGTGAAGCTGCGGGAGCGCATGCGGATTCAGAAGGAGATGGCGCGGCTGCGCTTCCTGCTGTCCGACCAGTCGCTGCTGCTGCTGCCTGAGTACCACCAGCGAGTAGAGGTGGGGGGGCGGGGGTGGGGGACGGGGGCGGCTGGCTTGGGTGAAGACAGCGGGCTCCCCAACACCCCCTCTTCCTCGCAGGTGCTCCGAACCCTGGGTTATGTGGACGAGGCAGGCACTGTGAAGCTGGCGGGCCGGGTGGCGTGTGCCATGAGCAGCCATGAGCTACTCCTCACCGAGCTCATGTTCGACAATGCACTGAGTGCCCTGCGGCCCGAGGAGATCGCTGCCCTGCTGTCTGGCCTGGTCTGCCAGACCCCCGGGGACCCTGGGGATCACCTCCCGAGCACCCTCAAGCAGGTGGGGCGCAAGCCCTCCCCTCCCCCCTCACAGCTTTGGCACTGTCAACCCTCTTAAGTGCCTCTACGATGGGTGTGGTGTCTTCCTCAATCTGGACCCCCTGGGCCTGGAGCAGGAAGGAGCAGGAAGGAGCAGGCCTTGCCCTTTGCTTCCTTTCTGCAGGGGGTGGAACGTGTCCGGGCTGTGGCCAAGAGGATCGGTGAGGTCCAGGTGGCCTGCGGCCTGAACCAGACCGTGGAGGAATTTGTGGGGGAGCTGAATTTCGGGCTGGTTGAGGTTGTGTACGAGTGGGCCCGGGGTATGGTGAGTACCCGGGTGTGGGGTTCTGTGGATGGCTGGCTGGGGAAAGCCTGCCCAGGCCCAGCATTTGGTCCACACTCTGCTCTCCCCACAGCCCTTCTCAGAGTTGGCGGGGCTCTCGGGGACTCCTGAAGGCCTGGTGGTCCGCTGCATCCAGCGCCTGGCTGAGATGTGTCGCTCGCTGCGAGGGGCAGCCCGCCTGGTTGGGGAGCCTGTGCTGGGGGCCAAGATGGAGACAGCAGCCACCCTGCTACGCCGAGACATCGTCTTTGCCGCCAGTCTTTACACTCAGTGAATGGCCACTGGGTAAAAGTACAATAATAAAGCAACAAACCACTGGGTATGCTTAGGCTGTTTGTGGGGGGACCCGGCTCAGAAGACACAGCAGGGAGAACCACTTAGAAACATGCATTTATTCTCTGTGCACAACGACACCATCAGCCCCTGCAGCGTCAGTCCTTGGGGGACGTTGTCTTGGAGGGTGACGGGAGGTCTGCGGTCATGGCTTCCACGTACCACGTGGGCAGGAAGGCATAAGGTGCGTCTCGATGTACAGACACGGTGACTGGGCCCCCGGGCTCCCAGGAGAAGAGGTGGACGAGCCTGGGGGAAGAGGGCATAGGGCTGAGGGCTGGAGCTCAGCTGCTGGCTCTCGAAGGGGAGACAGAGCTGGTGCCTCACCTCGGGTCGTCCTGGACAACTGTGCTCTGGGCAAAGCTCAGGAAGGCGGCACAGAAGTTCACGCACACGGAGGGGCTCCAGCCATGGCGGTCATTCTGGGATGGGTGCGGGAGGAGCAGAAGATGGGGAGGGACGGCAAGGAGCAGGGGAAGGCATGTTGCAGCCTGGACAGTACGCTGTGGTCTTGGTGCAGGGGGTGGGTGCAGACAGGCGCAGCTGACGGCAGTGCCTTACCCTGACGTGTTCAAACATCTCCATGGTAGGAAAGGTTCTGAGGGAACGGACGAAGCCCTCCGGGTTACGGAAGCCGGCAACGACATGCGGGATCCCTGGGAGGAATGACTGAGCCCACCACTTCAGGAGCTTGTGTCTGGCAGGAAAGACAAGGGGTCAGCAGGACCCTCCTCTACCCTCCATTCTGCCCTCCGTCTCCCCAGTCCCTGTCCCAGGTGTGAACACAGGCCCTTGCCCTGCCCGCCTGTTCTGAACCTGTAGAAGGCCCGCCACTGGCCAGGGCTGTGCAGCTCCTTGGAGGTCTTGAGCTCCACGTAGCAGGTGGGGGGCTGTGTGGATGCGGCCCGGGGGGCCATGCAGTCGACCTCCCCCGAGAAGAGCAAAGGGTAGCTTCCCAGGCGGCTTCGTAGCACAGAGCAGAAGGCCACGTTGGTGTTAACCTCCCCGGAGGGGTCTGGGGAGCCTCCAGGTTTGTCTGCACAAGCAGAGAAGCAGCAGCAGGAGGGGTGGGGGCTTCCGATCTGGGGAGGGGGTGTTGGCCTCGGTGCAGGGGCAGCTCTCACCTGCGCACATGTACTGCTCAAACTTGTACCCCATGTACATAAGCTGCCGGAGGAGGGGCGGCCGAGCAAGCCTCTGAGCCCGCGCGGCCGGCGTCTCCACCTCACTCAGGTACAGCGTCCCCTGGAACCTCGAGGCTGCCAGCTGCCAGCCCTCCTGCTGCTCGTACGGTGTGATCAGCAACTTTGTCAGGTGCCCCCGCCAGGTCACTACGGCCCCTGCCAGCCAGCCGGGACCCCTGAGGGAAGAGTTAGCACCTAAGGGTCTGACAGCATTAGCTCTGCTAGCTCCTCCCGAGTGGCCTGAGTTCCCTCTAGGGTTGCAGTCTCCCTGCAGCTTTGCTTCTAACTTCACCGGGCAGGTGCGGGTCTCCAGATCTACCTGTGTCTAGCTTAGCTCACCCCTCCAGTTGGTCTCGGTGTTCCAGAAGCCAGCGTAGCAAGTGGTCCAGCCCCTCTCGGACCTCCTCGTCCCGGGGGTGGTATCGATCAGGGTATCCGTCTCTAAGGTCAAAGTTGAGGCCTGGGCCGTTGGTGGGGGGTGGGCTGTAGTAGCGGAGAGCTCGGGCGTCTCCATGGTACTGGCGTTGTGAGTCCAGGGAGAAGCAACCGAGTTCAGAAGGGCGCCGGTAGAAAGGAAAAGGTCCAGAATAGAGGGCAGGCTTCGTGGGCAGGGAGGGTGCTGCATGGGGCAGACTGTTCGGAGGCTCAGCTACCTCTGTCTTCTCAGCTCTTCTCTTGGTCCCTCTGGGCTCCATGAGGTCCTGAGAGGAGGAAGTTTCCACTTTGCAGAGTAGCTCAGCACCCGGCCAGCCTTCCGGCTACCAGGTGGGGGACTCCAAAAAAGCAGGCCCCAGACCCTCGAGCCCACCCCTGGCCGAGCGCTCAGCCTGCCTCTTTGCTTGCCCTGAACCTCCATCCCCCAGGTACTCAAATGCAGCGAGGGGAAGAAGGAAGCCAGGACCCAGACCAGGGGTTACCTCGAAGTCCCCCGACCCTGACTTCCACCTCTGCAGGGATATGACGTCGGGGCAGGGACGTCAGAAGCCGAAGAGGGATGCAAAGGTGTTTTTGGCTTCCGATGACGCAATCATTCAGCGACTACGGCGGGCAAACCCCTCTGAAGGATGGAAAGGTGGTGTGGGGGAGGGTTTGCATCAGGATTCTGAGCCCAGCTTGGACAGCGGCGCAGCCAGAGACCCGAACGCGACAGCTCTCGGCGGGAACCAATCGACGGCGGGCGCGGGGCAGCGGCTCGGCGGAAGTGGTGCTGGCCTTCGCCCCTCGAGGCACCGGCTCGAGCGCTGATTGGCGGAAGCCTCTTCCGTCCTCGCGCCGTGAAGCCGGCCAGGAAGGACGCCCGCCGCATACGTCATTGCCGTGCACCGGAAGCGTATGCTTTATCGCGCTCTTTCCTCAACTTCTGACCCTTCCCCGGTACCGTAAAATCCCGGGCTATGAGCCAAAAGAGGCATCGCCTGGTCCCGCAGACCTTGGGTCTGAAGAGGCGGCGGGAGCGAGGTCCTGTGGACGCGGACGCTCTGAGGGGCGAGTCAGGTAGCCAGGGCGGCCGGGGGCGGGGGCTTAGCTCGGGACCCGGCTGTGGAGGGCGGAGTCGCGTGGCTGTCCCCCTCCCCGGCCTCCGGTCCGTCCCGGTGACCCGGTCTCTCCGCCAGGGTCTGCGCGCGCGGCGGTCGCGGAGCTAGTGCGGCTGTTCCCGCGGGGCCTGTTCGAGGACGCGCTGCCGCCCATCGCGCTGAGGAGCCAGGTGTACAGCCTCGTGCCCGACCGGACGGCGGCCGACCGGCAGCTGGTGAGGAGCGTCGGAGGGGCCCTTCCTCCCCTCGTACCCGCCGAGTCCCGGCAACAGACCCCGCCTCGGCCCGCCGGCCGTTCCGCAAGCGTCGGGCCGGTCCTGGAGATGAAGAGCGCGGCTTTGGGGCAGCGTCGTGGGGCTTGGGGGCCAGGGAAGCCGACGCCAGCCGTCGACGGGCTGTGGGGAGTGTGAACGAGGCAGTGCGAGGAGGGTCATTTTGCAGCTGAGAACTGGCGAGGCCCTGAGTTACGGGAGCGTGGTAGGGAGCGAGGCGTGTGGAGCGAGGAATCGACAACAGACTGGGTGGCTGGCGGGGTGCCCGCAGGCGGAGCGCTCCGAGTCGTGGGGAGCAGGTGATGTGCTTAATTTCGTGCAGGTTGAGTTGGACTTGCTTGTGGAGTATCTAAAGACAGATGCAGTCGATGCCTGGCTGAATGGAGAGCGTTCTGGGCCAGTGATGTCAGTTAAGTCAGGGAGGAGTGAGTAGCGGTTTGGTCAGGGGATGTGAATGAGATCCAGTAGGAAGAGTAGAAGAGTGACCTGTCACCTTTTTACAGCTTGGAGGGTCATGCACATAGGTCACTATACTAGGTATGACTTGGGGAGGGGGTTTCAGAGGCTCTGAGATTAAAGGATAAGGACCCCAGGTTTGGAGTGAAAAGTTACGAAAGCCAAATCCACAGTGCTGGGCGACATCAGCATTTAAGGCAGTGTTAGTAGAGCGAGGTTCCTGGACCTCCCCCAAAGTTAATGAATTAAGATCTCTTAGCCGGGCGTGGTGGTGCCTGCCTGTGATCCCAGCACTCAGGAGGCTGAGGCAGGAGGATTACCATGAGTTTGAAGCCAGCCAGAACTACATAGTAAGTTCAAGACCAGCCTGGACTACACAGCGAGACCCTGTCTCAAAATAACAAAAATAAGGGGTCCAGGATTTAGCTCAATGGTTCCACTGCCTACCTTACAAGTGCAAGGTCCCGAGTTCGATTCCCGGTACCAAAAAACCAAAACAAAACAAAATGAAGATCTCTTAAGGTGGGATGTGGGAATCTATATTTTTAAACTACGGCCTCAACTTGTCCTTAATGTGCTTTAAAATTTGAGATCCTCTGATGTAGAAGGCAAAGCAGAGGAAGAGGAATTTCTGGAAGAAGCTGTGAAGGAATAGCTTGAGTTAAGAGGAAGCCAGGGACGAACCCTATTGTGAAAGTAGAGGTCTTTTTTTTTTTTTTGGTACCATGGATCGAACTCCGGACCTTGCGGTTGGGAGATAGGCGATGGAACCACTGAGTTCTCCAATAGAGATCTTTTTGAGACAGTAGGGGGCCAGGGATTTAGCTCAGTGGCACGGTGCCTGCCTTGCAAGCACAGGGCCCAGAGTAACCCCCCTCAAAAGAAAAGACAGTAGGGGTTGGCAGTGTAAGCCATGGCTCAATGCAGTGGTCTATGAAGAGGTCAAGTGAAATCTGAAATCTGTCCATTGGATCTAGCTAGTAGAAGGTGAATGATGATCTGTCATAAAAAGAAGAAAAAACCGGTTTGGGTGCGAATTCCTCTTAGTGCAGTTTTCAGACACATTCAAGAAGAATCAGTCGAGTTTTTTTTGAAAGCATCATAATTGCACTATTTAGATCAAGATGCCTGGTAAAGCAAATGCTTCCAAGAAAAAGTCTCAACAATTAAAAAAAATTCAAAAAGAAAAACTGATGCTGAAGAAGTGGAGTTATCAGAGAAAGAGGTTAGAAACACAATAAAAAGAAATAAAAGTCATCCAAAGCACATGTCTTCTGAAGGACAAACAAATCATACTAATCTAAAGCAGATAAAGATCGCATCCAACAAGAGAAAAACCTGGCAACCTCTTTCAAAGAGTGTGAGGGAGCATTTGCAAACTATGATGGAAGCAGTAATAATAGCAATTTTCAGTAATAAAATTAAAGAAAAAACAAATTCGGTATAATCTCAACTGCCTGAAGAAAAGGTTGCTACAACTGTGTGAAACCCTGAAAGCCCCTCCCCAAAAGCTGAAATAGTTAATGTGACAGGTCTACTGAAAATGGAAAGAGCTCAAGACAGAGATAATGAAGAGGGTCTGGCATTACTGCAGGAAGAAATAGATAAAATAGTACAGACTGCGGAGTCAGTGACTGGGAATGTTCAGAGTCTAAAAAACAAAATTGAAATTCTGGCACATGAGATAGAGGAAGAGGAGGAAAAGGCAAATAAGGTTTGTTTCTGTTAGATGCTTCAGCTGGATCAACATAACATGCTTCTCTCCCAGAGCTTTCTCGGTGCAGTCTGAAAGCACCCACACTGCAGAAAGAAGTTTTGGGGCCGGGGATTTAGCTCAGTGGTTTCACCGCCTGCTGCGTAAGCGCAAGGACCTGCGTTCGATCGCCGGTACCAAAAAAAAAGAAAAAAAGAAGTTTTGATGCTAATTCCAAACCAGAATGTTCCTCTAAAAGACTTGGATGTTCTTCATAATTCATCCCAGATGAAGAACATGTCAGTGTTCATCGAAGAAGCCTCTAAGAAACTAAATGCCTCTTAGAGAATTTTTTAATATTGTTTCCTATTAATTTAATGTTTATAAATTTGTGAAACTGTTAACCTATGATGTTACAGAGGCTGAAGCTTCTGCAGGATTTGTTATCCTCTAATATGCACTTTAAAATTGGCCTGTGTAGGCCTATCATTAGCATCTAATGTAGTCCTGAAAACTTTCTAGCAGTTATGAAATCTAGAAAATCAATACTTATATTGCTGTACCGTAGTTATTTGCCTAAAACATAAGACAGGAATAGCTATGATCTGATAGTTTGTGGCGGCTATTGGGAGCTCACCTGTGCTGGCACAGCGGAACTGTGACACTGTGACATTGTGTGTGTGAAGTGCCTATGTGCAGTGCTTATAGCATAAACACGTGAATGTTTGCCGTCTGTAACAGACAGCTTGCATTTTCTATCTGGTTTCACAGAACTTGAGAAATCCCCAAGTGCCTCTACCCTTACCTAACTCCCTAATCTTGTTCAATAATAGTTAAAGTTTTCCAGGTTCCTTCAACTTTGAAATTGGCATTAAGTTTTTATTTTGTTTGTTTTAAATATTTATTTTCTACTGTCATCAAAGCATACTTTTTTTAATCAAAGAATACTCTTAAGAAAATTACTAAAAAGGAGTCTAAGCACATTTATTCCCTTAAAACCAACCAAAAAAAACCCAACAACAACAAAACTGTTTTGAGAAGAACCAGTACGTGAGAAGCAGCCACCAAAGGTAAAAGGTACTGAGAGACCAAAGAAAGCAGACAGCCGGGCATGGTGGTGCATGCCTGTAATCCTAGCACTTGGGAGGCTGAGGCAGGAGGATCTCTGCAAGTTCAAGGACAGCCTGGGCTACCTAGTGAGTTCAAGCCCAGCCTGAACTACTTAACTAGACCCTGTCTCAAAACGAAACCAAAAAAGCCGACAAATTTGGGATTACCAAAATGTGTCTCTCGGATAGCAGCAAGATAGGCAGATTCTTGTATCCCAGATTTCAGCAGCAGGAAGAGGGGAGTTTTATGCTAAGCCAACAAAGTGGCCCATAGCCAATTAGAATGTATGATAATAAGCTTTTATATATAAATACATTATTAAATCAAAAATCATTTGGAATAAAAAAATCATTTGTAAGATATTTGTAAACTAAAATAGTTGCAATTTAAAAAAAAAAAAGAAGAAGGAAAATGGAAACTTGTACCAGTCTCACATGAGGAAGCAAGTCAGATGGAACCTCTTCCTAAAAACAATTTATTTTTAATGTATTGGCATTCGCTTACATTTTGGAAGAGCTGTAAAAGTTACACAAAAGAAAATATAAACATGCAGAAGAAAAAGAATGTTTATAAAGAAAATACCTACCTAGCCACCACCTAGGCCAGACTGTAGAACATGGCCAACGTCCCATGTATAATCTCCCTGATTAAAATTCCTTCTGGGGCTGGGGATTTACCTCAGTGGTTCTGCCCGCCTGCTTTCCAAGCGCAAGGACCTGAGTTCGATCACCAGTACCAAAAAAAGAAAAAAAATTCCTTCTGTCCTTGGGAGGTGACCACTATCCCAACTGCTATAACTGTTCCCTTTTTTCCTTTATAGCACTTACGTCTGTATTCATAGTCTGTTCATGCTGCTATAACAGAATACCCAAGATTGGGTAGTTTATAAACTGAATGTATTTCTTACAGTTCTAGAGGCTGGAAGTTCAAGATCAAGGTGCCAGCGGATTCAGTGTCTAGTGAGGGTTGGCTGGGTCTCTTGCTTCCAAGATGTTTCCAAAATACAAACAACAAGAAAACAAAACCTGTATGTTCAGGCAGTCATGATGGTGTGTGCTTGTTAATCTCAGCAGTAGGGAGGCTGAAGCAAGAGGATTTTGAGTTCAGCCAGATCTACATAGTAAGATTCTTAACAAATCAAATCAAAACCAAACCAAACCACCCATATTGAAGTCTGAGAGTATAGTTCAGTGGTAGAGTATGAGTGAGACCTGGGTGGAATCCCCAGGACAAAAAACAAACAACTCCTATGTTGGCATTTAAACCCCAAAATGATGGTATTAAGAGGTGGGGTCTTTGGGAGGTGATTGGGCCATGAGTGGGATTGGTGCCCTTAGAAAAGAGGCTTCTGAGAGCTGCCTGGCCCTTCTGTCTCCTCCTTGAGAGAGCATAGTGCTTGTCCCCAGCCCCTGCTAAATGTATTCTTGAAAATGATATGTATTATTCAGTTACTGATTTCTTAGTTTCTGAGGTTATCAAAATATTGTGTCCTGGGCTGGGGATTTAGCTCAGTGGTTTCACCGCCTGCTGTGCAAGTGCAAGGACCTGAGTTCGATCCCCGGTACCAGAAAGAAGAAAAAAAAAAGAAAACAGATGGTCAAAATATTGTGTCCTCACTGATTATTTTGATCCTTTGTTTTGTGGATTTATGACATTTGTACTAATATACTCTTGTGGTTGTGGATTTATTGGGGGTTTTTTTGTTTTTTGAGATGGTCTCCCTTTGTAACCCAAGTTGGCCTTGAACTCAATATGTAACCCTGGCTGGCCTTGAACTTGCAGCGATCTTTCTGCCTCAGCCTCCCAAGTGCTGGAATAGGCATGCACCACCATGCCCAACCAGGATTGTGGATTTATTATTCATATATTTCTTCTACTTTATCATTTCTTTTCTTTCATTCTGAGAGTCAGACATACTTTGGACCCTCTCTTGGGGCTGGGGGTTTAGCTTAGTGGTTCCAACCTCTGCCTTGCAAGCGCAAGGACCCAAGTTCGATGCCCGGTACCAAAAACAAAACAAACAAAAACATTGGACCTTCTCTTTATATCCTTTAAGTATCTTAGACTCTTTATTTGGTACCAGGGATCGAACTTGGGACCTTGTGCTTGCGAGGCAGGAGGTGGAACCACTGAGCTAAATCCCTGGCCCCTCTTTTTTTTTTTTTTTTTGTTTTTGAGACAGGGTCTCACTGTGCAGTTCAGGCTGGTCTTGGACTGTGTAGCCCAGACTGGCCTCAAACTCATGGCAATCCTCCTGCCTCAGCCTCCTGAGTGCTGGGATTACAGGTGTGCACCACCACACCCAGCATGTATTCTGGTTTTTTAAACAATTTTTTTCATACAGATTTATAATTTTTTATTGAGCTGTACCCAATTCTGTTGATCAGTTCTAGAATTTCTACTTGGATATTTTCAGACCTGCTGTGTTGTTACTTTCAATGCTGAGATTTCTGTCTTGGCTTTTATTTCAGCATTATGGACATAGGCTCTTTTTTTGTTAAGATTGTCTTTTTTTGGACACAATAAATGTACATATTGCTAGGGTACAGTGTGACAGTTTGATAGACAGGTGTACACACTGTGTCATGGTCAGATTGAGGTAGTCAGCGCTTCCAGCTCCGCAGTTGCCCTCTGTGCTATGGAAACTCAAACTCACTCCTCCTGTGTAACTGTATTTTGGTACCAATTAAAAGACAGCGTTTTATTTATTTTTTTTGGTACCGGGGATTGAACTCGGGACCTGGCGCTTGCGAGGCAGGCACTGGAACCACTGAGCTAAATCCCCGGCCCAAGACAGCCTTTTTGATAATTCCACTATCACATGTCTTTTGGAGTCTGTTTCTTGAGCATTGTTTCCTTATGTGCCCAGTTATTTTTTATTTTGTGGGAGACAGATTTGCATAGTTCAGCAAATGCCTTTCTTGTCCCACTTCCCTCTATCTGTTCCTGTTTTTACTTAGATATATTAATGTGGCAGTTCCTGTTATCTTGTAAGTTCTTTAATGCTTAAATTTTTTTTTAATGCTTAAATATTTAAAAAATATTGTCCTAGCGTTTTAGTCAATGTTAACAGGTGGCTTTGTTCTTGCTCTATGCTCATAAGCAGAAGTCCTGCTTTGTTTTTATTTGTTTTATTGTTTAATGCCACTCTCCACCTTCCCCCACTCAAAATAGACCACTGATTCCTTGAGGGCAGGGCCCATGTCATAATCACTGCTTTATCTTAGTGCCTGGCATAGATCTGTCTTACAGAACACGCACTGGTTGTTTGACAGATAGCTGGGAAGTTGGGTGGGTACCTAGTGGGAAAGCTTGCTTTGTGATATACCTGGTTATCTCCTCACACAGTAAAATGCCCAGTACTAGTAAACGAGAGCTCCTGCCCCGGAGTGCCCAGGGATAGCAGAGCATCTCACTCTAACAGACTCCTCCTTTCCATCCCCTTGTGTGTGGAGGCAGAAGGAGCTTCAAGAACAGGGAGAGATCAGAGTCATCCAGCTGGGCTTCGACTTGGATGCCCACGGGATTATCTTCACTGAGGACTACACGACCAGAGTATGTGTGACCATGCTTGCATGTGTGTGGGGGGGTGGAGAATGGAAATAAATCAAAAGAAATAATTTTCCTACCCCAGGATTCACAGACAGGGCACAGGGCTCTGGTTAATAGTAAAACGAGGGAGAGGAGGGAAGGTCCGGGAGGTGGAAGGACCGAGGAGGGGAAACCAGGAGGAGAGTCGGTGTCCTGGGGGTGGAGACAGGTGGAGGGGAGGGCAGGCCCGGACCATGTCTCTCCTCTCTGGTTCCAGGTCCTCAAGGCCTGTGATGGCCGACCGTGTGCTGGGGCTGTGCAGAGGTTTCTGGCTTCGGTGCTTCCAGCCTGTGGGGACCTTAGTTTTCAGCAGGATCAGATGACACAGACCTTTGGCTTCAGGGACTCAGAGATCACGTGAGATCAGTGGGACCAGCAGAGTCAGACACCTGGCACCTCCCTGCCCCACTCCAGTCCCATCCAGCCCTTGTGAGAAAGTCTGTACCTTCGGTTTGACTAAGTGATCCAAGTCTACTTTTCCCTGTGAGAGAGCAGGCCTTTCTCACCTGGGGCCTTGGAAAGAGCACCGGACTACACAAAGCCGGGAGCGCTGGCTCGCAGAATGCACGTGGGGACTGGCCGGAAAGCCTCATGTTCATGCTGGAACTGTGGGGACGGAGAAGGAGCTATGACACTCTTGCACAGTCATATCTCAAAATAAAGTCTAATGAAAGGGCTGGGGATGTAGATCCGTATGAAGACTTTTAAGTTCAGTCCCCATTATGGCAAGAATAAAAAGGCCAGCCTGTCCTCTATGTAGACAGACCCCGTCTTGAAAAACCAAACCACACTAAATCCCAAAAAGAAAGTAGGCAAGAGCTAAATAAAAGTATGATTTCAGGGGGCTGTGTCTTGCTCTGGCCTCCTACTTTGTAACCCATGGTATATGTGAAAGCATCTTAAAATCGAAAGGACTTGGGCCGGGGATGTAGCTCAGTGGTTTCACCGCCTGCTGCGCAAGCGCGAGGACCTGAGTTCAATCCCTGGTACCAAAAAAACAAAACAAAACGCAAGGACTTAACTCACCTAGGGAAGCACACACTTACCATGAGGTGCAGCAGAAGCTGTGGTGAGACTCACAGGCCCAAGGAAGATTCCTACTCCTCAGGGTCGGGAGGACCTCTGAGAGGAAGCTGCTCTGCTAAACAAGTGGTTGTTCGGGGAAGGAGAGACGAGGGAGGGAAGTCCAGGTGGGGACAATGGAAGCAGCGTGCGTGCATGCGTGCGTGCGTGTGTGTGGAGGGGGCAATTCTCACCCAGTCCCTCTTGCTGAGGGTGTTACCTCTGTTTCTGGAGCCTCAGTGTTCAGACATAAACATGGGGAGGAGAGGGGCTTCTGGAGCCCGGCCACATCTCCCGGCTTCCCACTGCCTGCAGACACTTGGTGAATGCTGGAGTCCTCACTGTCCGAGATGTTGGGAGCTGGTGGCTGGCGGTGCCTGGAGCTGGGAGATTCATCAAGTACTTTGTTAAAGGTATCTGTTGTGGCCCAAGCCCTCAGCCTGTCAGGAACAACTTTGGTGGCTCCTCAGGCCTCTGGGCTCTACTTACTTTTCCCCTTTTCCTGTGCCACTTCCCAGGGCGCCAGGCTGTCCTTGGCATGGTCCGTAAAGCCAAGTACCGGGAGGTCCTCCTGTCAGAGCTTCTGGGCCGGCGGGCGCCTGCTGCAGTGCGCCTTGGCCTGGCCTACCACGTCCATGACCTCATAGGAGCCCAGCTGGTGGACTGGTGAGCCTTGTCCCCTGGCACTAGCAGATGACAGGGCAGTGACCCATGGTTGGGTTTCCCCTGGCTCATGCTTAATTCACTATCGAAGCCCAGTTCCTCTCTTAACTTCTCTGGAACCCAGAAACACCCCTTGCCAAGTTTTGAGCTTCCCTCCACCCTGGGGCTATGCAGCTGGCTCCAGTGTTGTTTTTCTCTTACACAGCATCTCCACCACTTCCGGAACCGTCCTCCGCCTGCCAGAGACGTGAAGATTCTGCTGTTGCTGCTCAGAGCCAGGCAGGGGTTCCTAGGAGTGCCTCGAGATGGTGGCTGAGCGGGGGTCATCTTGGGAAGGCTGAGTGGGGCTGGGCAGGACTGCCCTGCTAGCCTGGGCTCTCACCCCTGGTGGGCTTTGGGTAGTGCTTCTGGTCTTCATGGAGCCAGGGACTGCCAAGGCCTCGACCATCGTCTGTTGTGGAAGAAAGTGCTGTCATTGCTGTCTTGGGATTGGAAGGTGGGACTGCTGGGGAGCCTGGGGAGGGAGCCAGGGTCCTTTGCCCTCCCTGTTGAATTGGAGTTGCCAAATAAAGTGCTTCTGCCTGTGGTGTTTCCTGAATGATGTGAGTTTGGGTGTTTCCTTGGGGGGCGGTAAAGCCAGTGGAGGCCTGAGATCTGTCCTGTAGCTCAGGTTTAGTTTCCCTTGATTCTTTTTTTTTTTTTTTTTTCTTGGTACCAGGGATTGAACTTGGGTCCTTGAGCTTGCGAGGCAGGCGCCAGAACCACTGAGCTAAATCCCCGGTTTAGGTTCCCTTGATTCTGAGGTCGGTTCTTCCCATCTGAACCACAAGGTTTCCGTCAGGGCCTGCAGAAGGCAAAAGCCTGGTGTGGTTCAGTGTGGGTCGGGATGAAAGGGAGAGTCGAGGGTCTTAGAAGACCATCCTCCTTCTGTCAGGACTTTCAGTGTCCTAGATCTCCAAGCCAGCCTGGGGCCCTTGCGGGCTCATGGAGGGCCGGGCACCTGTGTGTGTACATGCTCACAGATACTCCCAGTTAGGGAGGTGGCAGCACCGTGACCAGCGGGGAACAGGGAAGGACAGCTGTCTCTGGGCCAAGATTTCCTCACCTCCATGCGGACCCTGGTGTCCTGGCTGCCCCCTCAGCACTGGGCCTGGGGCCAGTTGCACTTCTTGCTAGTCACGTGGTTTCCCGGCTCAGCTGGCTAGGGGAGGAGCAAGGTCCAGAGTCAACACTGCCCCTGACCCTAGGCTGACCAGAAGGGAGCAGACGGAGCAGCAGGTCTCACCCTTCTTGGACCCTGCAGCCATGAGGCTCCTCTGGGGGCTGCTCTGGGGGTTCAGCTTCTTTGCCTCTTCTCTGCAGAAGCCCAGGTTGGGCGAGAGCCTGGGTGCTCTGGTGGGCAGGGCTGGGGGACCTGATCCCGGCGCGAGTCTGACGACCCCCTCCCCTCAGGCTGCTCCTGTTCTCTCCCTCCGTGGTCAATCTGGGGGTGCCCCTGTCGGTGGGGGTGCAGCTGCAGGATGCCCCCCCAGGACAGGTAGTGAAAGGATCCGTGTTTCTGAGAAATCCAAGCCGGAATAACGACCTCTGTTCACCAAAAAAGGACTTCACTCTCACTTCAGAAAGAGTCTTCGAACTCCTGAGCCTGCAGGTAGCCGGCACCCAGCACCCTGCCCCTCTGCCTGCCCCTCTGCTCCTCACCAGCCTCCCTCCCTCCTCCTTCCACCCCAGGGGTCTTCTGGATGTTGCTGCCTTGGTCTTTCTGTCCCTGAGCAGCTTCCTCTCCCTGTCTGGACAGGTTCCCCGGAGACTTGCAAAGACCTGCGGCCTCTTCAGCCTTCGCAGAAGCCCCGAGGTCCAGCTGGTGGCCCAGTCACCCTGGCTGAGGGGCTCTCTGGCCAGACAGACAGATATTCAGGGCGTCAACCTGCTCTTCTCTTCTCGCCGGGGCCACTTCTTTGTGCAGACTGACCAGCCCGTGTACAACCCTGGCCAGCAGGGTGAGGCTCAGCCTTGGGGCTTGCGCTCCCATCTCCTCCCCGCCACTGAGCACAAGTGGCTTAGCAGACGCTCGCCCTGCCTCCCTCCCTCTGCACCTGGGCCCCTGCTCACCTCTTTTACCCATTCCCAGTTCGGTACCGGGTCTTTGCTCTGGACCAGAAGATGCGGCCGTCTACTGACAACCTCCTGGTCACGGTGCAGGTGAGGCCCCTGGTGCTGCCCTTGTGAGCCAGGGCACTGCTGGGACTCCCACCCGAGACCATGTCTACTCCCCCTGCAGAACTCTCACGGCCTCCGCGTTCGGAAAAAGGAGATGCATGTTCCCTCCTCCATCTTCCAGGACAACTTCATGATTCCGGACATCGCCGAGTGAGCAGCCCGTGTGGGAGTGCTCCCCATCTTTCTCAGCCCAATCCCCGTCTCCCTTTGGGCTCCTCAGCACAGTCAGGCCTGATGTCTGACCCTGGGCTCCCAGGCTTCTGGTCTACCCCACAGACCTCTTCCCAGGGAACCAGGCCGCCAAGTCCCTTCTTTGTCCATCCTCAGGCCAGGGACCTGGAGGATCTCAGCCCAGTTCTCGGACAGCCTGGAAACCAACAGCAGCACCACGTTTGAGGTGAAGAAGTATGGTGAGCACTGGAGACGGGACGGGCTGTGCCCTCCCTGGAGCAGGCAGAGGAAGGGCGGTGGACAGGTGCCCCTGAGCGGAGGGGAGGAGCCCTTTCGCCAGGCTTTGACTTGCGGCCCCCTTACCCTGGCCCAGTCCTTCCCAACTTCGAGGTAAAGATCACCCCTGGGAAGCCCTACATCCTGGCCACACCGGACTATCTCGGTGAGATCCAACTAGACATCGAGGCCAGGTAACGCCCCGCCCGCCCAGCAGGTCCTGGGCCCATGGCCCACCCTGCTCCTGTGGCCCACCCTCTGCCCATCCCTGTGCCTGCGGCAGGTACATCTACGGGAAGCCAGTGCAGGGCGTGGCCTATGTGCGCTTTGCACTGCAGGACCAGGGCGGGAAGAAGACTTTCCTTCGGGGCCTGGAGATTCAGCGCAAGGTGGGGACTGGAGCTGGGCGGGACCGGGTGGGTGGGGCTCCACCCACCACCCATCGCCCATGTTTCTCCTGCAGCTGGTGGATGGCCACAGCCGCGTTTCCCTCTCGAGCGCTGAACTCCACGGTGCCCTGGAGAAGCTCAACGTCAGTGTCCCTGACCTGCAGGGTTTGTGTCTCTACGTGGCAGCAGCCATCATTGAGTCTCCAGGTGGGTGGCTTCCCTCACTCGGACGGCTCTGGCCTCGGGGTCCCTGACCCGTACCCGAGATGAGCGGTGCACACTAAGCTCGGTTTTTTGGGCTCGCGGGCCTGTGCATGTGCAGAGCAGAGCTGCGGCCCTCACAGCCCAGAAGCCAGGAGAGGAAGGGAGGTGGCCAGGATCCACTGCTGCCCTCCAGCTTGGCGCAGGGACCTGAATCCTCCGGTGCCCCCCCCACCCCCGTGAAAGTTCCATCACCTCCACACAGAGCCACACGCGGAGCTTCAGGAACCCCTAAAATCCAAATTTTAGCCGGCTGTAGCTCACACATGAACCAGTCCTAGCTGCTGAGGCAGGAGAATCCCAAATTCAAGGCCAGCCTGGGCAGTTAGGTAAGACCTGATCTCAAAATAAAAAATGCAAAGCTGAAGGGGCAGCTCCATGGTACAGCATTCCCTGGACACCACCCAGAAAGAAAAAATCCAGTTTGCATCCCTGGCCCTGTGCCTCAGCCCCACTCCTCCCCTGACTGCCGCACCTCATCTGGGCCCAGCAGCCTTGGCCCCTCTCCAGCTCTGCCTCTGCCCCTCCGCCCCTCCCGTCGGGTGCTCATTCACCCGTCCACTCACGTCTGTGTGCGGGTGCTGCTTTGGGCCTTGGGGATGGTAGAGATGAGCGCAGATCGGACTCCTGAATGCGGGGGAGACATGCAGACACCCCTTGGCCTCCTGCTCCCCTCTTCCCAGGCTCTGCCCTGTGTCTTGCAGGGGGGGAGATGGAAGAGGCGGAGCTCACGTCCTGGCGTTTTGTGCCGTCTGCCTTCTCCTTGGATCTCAGCAACACCAAGCGCCACCTGGTGCCTGGGGCCCCCTTCCTGCTGCAGGTGGGCTCTGGAGGGCAGGCTTCGGGAGTGTGTGTTGGTCTGGAGGGCCAGGTCTTGCTGACCACTCTTTTTCGCCGGCCCTTCTACCCACCTAGGCCCTGGTCCGAGAAGTGTCAGGCTCCCAAGCCTCTGGCATTCCTGTCAAAGTTTCTGCCACGGCTTCCGGGTCTTCTTCTAAAGTCCAAGAGATTAAACTTAACACAGATAGGATGGGCCAGGTCAACATTCCCATCGATGTCGCGAGGGGAACCACAGAACTTCAGCTCTTGGTAGGCCTGCTCTGCGCTGTGGGAGCAGTGGGGAAGGGACGGAGGCTGAGCTGGTTCCTGAGGGTCCCTGGCCCAGCCTGGGAGGAGCAGTGGGACACACAACCCTTGTCACTGACCTTGTGCACCTGCCCCTCCCAGGTGTCCGTGGGCTCCCTCTATCCGGCCGTAGCCAGGCTCACCGTGCGAGCCCCAGTCTCAGGAAGCTCTGGCTTTCTGTCTATTGAGCGGCCGGATCCTCGGGCCCCTAGAATCGGGGAGACTGTCGTCCTGAACCTGCGGACCGTGGGCCTCAGTGGGGCCACCTTCTCTCATTATTACTACGTGGTGCGTAAGCTGGGGGTAGAGGAGGGCAGGGGTGCAGGGAAGCACCCCATGGACGGGCTGGGCACAGTTCCAGGGCCGGGATCATACACAAAGAGGCTCCCGCTCTGCCCCTCCTCTTGGCCAGATCCTGTCCCGGGGCGAGATTGTGTCTGTGGGTCGAGAGCCCAGGACGACAGTGACCTCCATCTCAGTGTTGGTGGACCATCGCCTGACGCCCTCCTTCTACTTCGTGGCCTTCTACTATCATCAGGGCCACCCCGTGGCCAACTCCTTGCGAGTGAACATCGAGGCTGGGACCTGCGAGGGCAAGGTAATTGTGAGGGTCGGGAGAGAGAGAAGGGGCGCTGCACTTGTGGCAGGGCCTGGTTTACTTAGGGTGCACTGGGAATGCTCGGGATTGAAGGACGCCTTCCCCTGCCCCCGTCAGCTGGAGCTCCACCTGGACGATGCCAAGGACTATCGCAACGGGGACCATGTAAAGCTCCAGCTGCACACCGATTCTGCAGCCCTGGTAGCTCTGGGCGCGGTGGACACAGCGCTGTATGCTGTGGGTAGCAAGACCCGCAGGCCGCTGGACATGCGCAAGGTTTGTCAGGCGCAGCCCCTTCCCCTGCCACCCGGAGCCTGAGCTTCGAGACCCCACCCAGTCGGCCCTCGGGCCTGGGATCTCGTCCACGCTCCATGTTGGTCCTGCGTGCCCATGCCTGGCCCTCTCCCCTGTAGCCGAGTGGCCAGTCCCACCCCTCAGCTGTTCCTGCTGCCCACCGTCCCTGGCTTCTCTCACCAGGTCTTTGAAGTCATGAACAGCTACAACCTTGGCTGCGGCCCTGGAGGTGGGGACAGTGCCTTTGAGGTGTTCAAGGCTGCG